TTCCCTAATGGCTTGCTCAACCCCCACATCATTTTTCTGCCCTTCATTAAGCCTAGACAAGTGGTCAGCCACTTGATTCTCGGTTCCTTTCCTATCTTTAATCTCCATATCAAACTCTTGAAGGAGAAGAACCCATCTAATCAATCTAGGCTTAGAATCCTTCTTTTCCACCAAATATTTTATGGCAGAATGGTCAGTATATACAGTGACTTTGGTACCTACCAAATAAGATCTAAACTTGTCAAAGGCAAATACAACAGCCAACAGTTCTTTTTCAGTAACTGTATAATTCAGTTGGGCTCCATTTAAGGTTCGGCTAGCATAGTAAATAGAGTGAAAAACTCTATTTTTTCTTTGTCCTAAAACAGCCCCCACTGCCCAATCACTTGCATCACACATTAATTCAAAGGGCAGTGACCAGTCAGGAGCTATTATGATGGGAGCAGAAATTAATTTCTGTTTTAGCTCCTTAAAGGCTTTGTGACAAGCCTCATCAAAATGGAATGGGGTGTTAATTTCCAGCAAATGACTAAGAGGCTTTGAGGTTTTGGAAAAGTCTTTTATAAACCTCCTATAAAAGCCAGCATGCCCAAGGAAAGACCTTATCCCCTTTATGTTAACAGGGGGTGGCAATTTTTCAATTTGGTCTATCTTGGCCTTATCAACTTCTAAACCAGCCTTAGAGATCCTGTGTCCTAGAACTATGCCTTCCTTCACCATAAAATGGCATTTCTCCCAATTTAGGACCAGATTTGTCTCTTCACACCTCTCAAGAACTTTTTCCAAATTTCCTAGGCATTCTTCATAAGAATCCCCAAAAACACTGAAGTCATCCATGAAGACTTCCACAAATTGTTCTATCATATCAGTAAAAATTGCCATCATGCACCTTTGAAAGGTGGCTGGTGCATTGCACAATCCAAATGGCATTCTCCTAAAGGCAAAGATGCCATAGGGACAAGTGAAAGTGGTCTTTGGTTGGTCTTCAGGAGCTAAGGCTATTTGATTGTACCCTGAATAGCCATCTAGAAAACAATAGTATTCCTTACCAGCCAATCTATCTAACATCTGATCAATAAAAGGCAAAGGAAAGTGATCCTTCCTAGTGGCCTTATTGAGTTTTCTGTAGTCCATACAGATTCTCCAACCAGTGACAGTCCTTGTGGATATTAATTCTTTTTTTTCATTCTCCACAACAGTGATTCCACCCTTCTTAGGGACACACTGTACTGGGCTGACCCAGTTACTGTCAGAAACAGGATATATTACCCCAGCATCCAACCACTTAATTATTTCCTTTTTGACTACCTCTTTCATGATTGGGTTTAATCTCCTTTGCTGCTCCCTAGAGCTGCTGGTTGGGTCAGTCAACAGAATTTTATGTGTGCAATAAGAAGGGCTAATACCTTTTATGTCTGCTAAAGACCAATCTATAGCCCTCTTAAATTTTTTTAAAACAGTCAGCAACTGTTCTTCCTCTAGCACAGTGAGCAGATTGGACACTATGACAGGCAAGGTATCTTTTTCTCCTAGGTAAGCATATCTAAGATGGTTAGGCAGAGGCTTAAGTTCTAACACAGGGGGTTCTTCAATTGAAGATTTGGGAATTTTTAATCCTCTCTTGGCCAATTCTAATGACTCAAAATTTTTATTTTTCCAAACCACATCAGTTTTAGAATTCAGCCACTTAACTCCTCAGAATCAGTTTGACTGATTTCTAGACCCTCAAAACCAGAATTTTGTAAAGGGTCTAATGAGGACTCATGCAAAAATTTATCTTTGACTACACAGTCAATGATATCTAGTCTAGAACATTCCTCAATGTCTCTTGGGTATTTCATGGCTTTTAAAATATTAAATTTTACTTGTTCCCCATTCACATTCATGACCAACTCACCCTCCTTAACATCTATGACAGCCCCACCAGTGGCTAAGAAAGCCCTTCCCAAAATAATTGGAACCTCTCTGTCTTCCTCATAGTCTAAAATTATAAAATCAGCAGGTAGAATGAATTTATCTACTTTCACCAAAACATTCTCTACTTTCCCTTCCGGATAAACTAGAGATCTATCAGCCAACTGTAATGTGACAGTGGTGGGATTAGGCTCTCCTACTTTCAGCTTTTTGTACACACTCAAAGGCATTAAGTTGATACTAGCACCTAAATCACACAATGCTCTGCCTATGTAGTGGTCTCCTATGGTACAAGGGATTGTAAAACTTCCTGGGTCTCCTAGTTTAGGAGGTATCTTACTAAGAAGATATTGACTGCTCTCTTGTGTAAGAGCAACAGTCTCAAACTCTTCTAGCCTCCTTTTTCTTGAAAGAATTTCTTTCATGAACTTTACATAAGAGGGCATTTGTTCCAATGCATCAACAAATGGAATGTTGACATGCAACTGTTTTAGGAGGTCTAGAAATTTCCTAAACTGATTATCTTGCTTCTGCTTTTGCAACCTTTGAGGAAAGGGTGGTGGAGGTCTTTTTGAAGTAGCAGGTGTCTCACTATTTGGCTTAGGGGTCGAACCCTTTTGAGTAGGTTTTTCAATGGAATTATTCCCTAAAGGCTCATCTATAGAGGGCTGAGTGTCTGATTCGACCAAAATGGGTAAAGAGTTATTGTGCACAACCCCTTGGGGGCTATTATGAACAACAGAATGCTGAACAGGTTCAGAATTTGCATCCTTTTCTTTCTGCATGTTCTCCCCTTCTTCTTTTTTTTAATGTGGAAGGTCTAACCACAGCTTCTGGCTGATTTACAGATCTGCCATTTCTAAGCTCTATCATATTGCATTGCTCTTTATTTCTCCTAGGTTCTTCAATGTTACTAGGCAAGGTACCAGGAGGTCTGGTATTCATAGTGTTTGCTAAATGGCCTAGTTGGGATTCTATGTTCCTTAGGGATGCTGGAATACTTTGCACAACAGCTTCCAAGCTGTTTTGCTTGGTCTCATTCTTAACCAAATATTCCCTTAACAAAGCTTCTAAAGAAGAGGATGGAGCAATAGACATCTCACTAGGTTGAACAACAGCTTGCTGCCTAGAAGTTTGTTGGTAATTCTGGGTAGGAAAAGGTATTTTTGTTTGGGCATTAGAATGACCAGCTTGCTGCCTCTGCCCTTGAAAATATTGAGGCTGTTGGTTTTGCCTCCATCCCTGGTTAAAGTTATTGGGAAAAATATTTTGGTTTCTATTTTGGTTTCCCACATAAAACACAGATTCTGGGTTGGATGGGCAGCTATCATACAAATGGGGCCCACCACAGCAAACACAAGTTACACTTGTGTTTATTGTGTTAACTTGAGGTTGGGTCACAGGTATTTGAGGTGCAGGAACTTGGGATTGGGATAATCTTGCCTCAATGGTTTGTCCTTGGGTTCTCACCAAATTGGACAGTGCATCAAACTTGGCTGAAAGAGCTGTTACAGGGTCTATCTCATGTAAACCAGCCACTCTCCTTGGCTGATTTCTCTCTTCAGGCCATTGGGCATAATTTTGAGTCATTTGTTCTAACAACTCATGGGCTTGGTTAAAGGACATAGTCATAAACATGCCATTAGCAGCAGAATCTGCCAAGGCCCTGTTTTGAGTATTTAGGCCATTGTACAAGGTTTGTAACACTGCCCAAGAGGGCAAACCATGATTTGGGCATTGCTTAAGAAGGTTCTTGTACCTTTCCCACACATCCACTAGTGTTTCTCCATCCCTCTGCATGAAGTTAGCAATATCACCTCTAGTTTGCACTATCTTATTAGAGGGGAAAAATTTCATAATGAATTTCTCAGCAAGGGTGTGCCAATTGGTTATAGAGTTGGATGGAAGGGAGTTCAACCATTCTTTGGCTTTGTCAGCCAGTGAATGAGGGAAGAGCTTCAATCTTAATACATCATCCGAGATGTTAGGATTCCTAAAAGTGTTGGCCACTTCTATGAAATTTCTAAGATGCTTGTGTGGGTCTTCCATCAACAACCCATGAAACTGCCCCATGTTTTGAAGCATGGTGAACATTACCGGTTCTAATTTGAAGGGCACCCTATTCACAGGTTGGGCGATGCTTGGATCTAACTCATCCAACACAGGTATGATGAAGTCCATCATGGACCTATCATTATCATTTATAACAGGTGGTTCCCTTATCCTTGCAGGTCCTCCTACCCCATCATTCCCATTTACACTTCCTAAATCCTCCATTTCTTCAATTTCTAGAAGTGGAATTTGCCTATGTGCTATCTGGGCTCTTCTCCTAACTCTAAATGTCCTTTCAGGTTCAGGGTCAATTGAATATATGAACGGGTGTGGAGTTGCACTCATGCACCCCTTTTAACTAAAACAGGTAAACCTGGCTTAGCTAAAACACCTAAATTACTAACCAACTTTTATGCAGAACAAGCAATAAATAAACACACAAGAACCTGCAAGCAGAAAAGTCCCAAGACAGTTCACAGCCTGACGGCTTTATAAGGCAGTAACAACTCACCCTCACTCAGGGTGGAACTAATAATTAAAATAAGAATGAAACTAAAAAAAAATTAAATAACATACAATAAACAGAATATGAACAGAACAGATTTTAAACTACCAATATTCAAGATACTATAGAACTAATAACTAAACAAACTGAAACAGAATTCAAATGAGCTACACTAAAAACAGCAAACAGAAGCAGTTCAAGAATAGCAATCACACAGGAATTTGATCATATATGCCTCGATCCCCGGCAACGGCGCCAAAAACTTGTTGCCTTGCTAACAGTTGTGCAAGTAATGCGCGCAAGTATACGCGACAACAAGTAATATAGGGCTGTTATAAGTCCCAGATATCGTTCCCACAAGGATCGTTGGCGTTTTGGAATGACTAAAATTTGTAATTGCTTAAAACTGAGTTACTATTTGAAAATAAAAGAAATAAAAATTGTAAAGTAAAAAACTATTCTAAAATGGACCTAAAACACTACTGTTCACTTTTCTTTTTAAAATTTTCTGAATTACTTTCCTAAGTTATAAAATACGAATGAAGAATGGAGCAACTTAAATGAAAGATGTGACAAAAATTTTGAAAACGGAATAGAGATTGAAATATGAAATAACAAAGGAAATTGGAAAATCTGAATTGATAAAGAGGTTTAAAAAGGTGGGTTGAGTTTTGGTTCTCCTTCCCCACAGTGCTTGAAAAATAATTTGATTAACAAAAAGCTCATCCTAAGATTCTCAGTTAACAGAACTGTATTGTTAATTTTTAATCTCTTAAAAATTATTTTAGCCCAAAGTTGCCCACTTCCATATCTCTATGCCAAGTGGGATTAGGACTCTTGAGACTCAGGTCCATTATTACATGAGGACTCATTCATTTCTGAATTGAGATCCCTTAGATGATTTCTCATCTAAGTCCATGTGTCTAATGCAGAATCCAGAATTAGTTGTTTCTCAACAACTAAATCCTAACCAAACCTCTGACATTTGGCCAAAATGCAGATAATTTTAAACATAGAAAAAAAAACATTAAACAACTGAGATATAAAAATTAAAACCAGGAAATCAAATAATATTTGACAAGCACTGAGGTTTGGGTATCACCTAAACCCAACCTCTAAAAAGTTAGCCACTATCCATATGGATGAAGCTTACACACAGTAACAGAGAACTACAGAAATCACAAAATAAAAATTCTAAAAACTAAAATTACAGCACTGGCCTAACAACCGGCAATCTCAGTGCTGTAAAGACATGCATCAAGTTCATCAAATGAACCAGAATCTCATTACAAAACAGAAATTAAAAGAAAATAAAAATTGTTCAGAAAACAAAAAACTAAGAAAAACGATAAATCAGAAATCAGGAGTGGGAAGAAGGGTCCTTTTGACTCACCCTCTTTCCCTTTTTATAGGGTTCCTTTCCTTCTTTGCGCGATTTTCCTCTCCAGCTCAGCAGGTATACACGCGCTCCTTGCGCGTTACACACCGGTGGTCCCCAACAGCTCCCTCCTCAGATAATCTAAATGGATTGTTGCTCCTTCACCCCGTACGTAAACTTGTGCCCACAAATCGCTCCAGCCTCCACTCTCAAAAAAGTATCCAGCTCATCCACTCAGCAAGGGGTTGTTGTTTTGACGTTTTCTGTATGAGGAAAGGGTGTCTAGGGTTTGGTTAATCTCTCAATGAACCGTGATTGAGGGTTTATCTTGACAAATAAACCAAATACAGAGAACGGTTTGGCTTTGCAAATCGATTTGTGGTCAGGAACTTTGGTCGGTTGTGTGCTAGGGTTTTCTAGCAGCCCTTTCTTCTCGTTTCTGACTCTGTCTCTTCCTTTCTTTAATTTTCCTTCATCTGGGCTTTTTGATTGACACAGGTCCAGCCCATATCTTTTCTTCTTGCTTTTCCTTTTCTGATGAATGTTAACAAAATGGGCCTGTAAAATAACAAGTTTAAGCCCATTAGAATTTAAGCCCATCATAAATTTTTTTGGGGTATTTTAATCTCAAAAGTCATTCATTCCTCACCAATTACACTCTAAACCATATGTTCTAAGTCTCATTAAAGAGACTTATCACTAGCCTTAAAAATAGGATGAACATAGGCATTCTGAAGGTAACCTTTCAAGTTCAGGTTAGGTTCTGTAGCTCGTTCTAATGTATCTTTCATCATTGCTTCCTGTATATATACAAATTTACAAAAAAACATAAAAATTCCATGTGTGAGGATTATTAACCATCCAAATGATTAACTGATATACCTGTAAGGGATATTTAACAAATGCAGATTCAAAACGGCCTTTGCAGTATCTATGGAACCATATGGTCAGTATTGGGAGTGCAATGAGAAATGGAGTTGATGAAGCAGCCTTTTTGGTCCCATCAGAACTATCTGTGAGACTATCAGTGCAAACACTACTCGAAAATGGACATCTGGCCAGAATGCAGCACCGCTCTCATACTCTTGATTATAAACGTTGATTATCTGCAATTGGAAGGTAGAGTCTTCATCTTATATATGGAAACTAAAAATAGGGGACTCAAATTATACAATCATCCTTGACATGTACAATATAGTTCTAACATCCCAATACCTGATGACGGAACACAACATAGGCAAGCCCAAAGAAAATTATTATGAAAGGAAGAACAGAAGGTGTCACTGCAGCATAGACTAGACCCAGCAAAAAGTACAATTGTATACGTGGTTCTCCAGTATTGAAACCAATACTCCCAGGATCCATGGCCTCTTCCCTGTCCTTTTCAGTCTTCACCAAGAAGAAATTCTTCCAAGTGATATATGATTAGTGGTTTCAACATCAAAACCTCTGCAGCTATACCGGCCCACCCATCAACCATTATATAAGTAATGAAGAAACTTGCTTTCAAAGGAATCGAAGTTCCAATTGTTACAGGATATCTGACAAGAATATTAAAAGAATTCTTAATCAAATTTATACGGTATAAATTAAGAGTAATGCATGTAAACATATTTAGCTGTGAAAACTAACATCATGGTTCTTAAATAGCTGAAGCATATCCAGAAGTAAGAAATTTTTTCCCCTTTTATATATGGTCATATGACATTATATATTAAATTGATCATAGATACAAGGTTACCACAAATTTACATGTCCATGCAAACTTTTAGGTGCAGCATAGCATATGTATGCACGCAAAACACAGAAAATATATGACAATTAAAAATATAAATATTTTTCTAAGGAAAAACCATATGGTACTATTTGAATGACTTACTCATTGGCTGGTTGGTGAATAAAAGAGTCCAGCTGTTGAAATGTTGTTCCGGTAATTATGTTCCCAAGAAATACATTCACAAAATTGAAAAGATAATATCTAAAAGCTGATCTTCTCTCCAGAGATGTTATAGATCCAAAGCCTTCGAATTTTGACATTATCATCAATATTGTAGGCAAAAAGATGAGGAAAAGCTTCAATACGATACCAGGTAAAAAACCTTGAATGAATGACTTAATGATAGGGCTGCACAATAAAGTAAATTCAAATAAGTATTCTCCAGTGATGCACGTGGATGGAATTGTATCTTCAGAGGTCCAACTATGAGATTAGACTTACACATTAGTAAGTGGCTCCAACCATGGTGCTGCTTTTTGGATTCCATCAAGACTCGCAAAAGTTTGTACAATTGCAATGGGGATCATAAAAAAGAAAGTGAGAAAAAAGAATGCAACAGCTATGATCAACCTTCTGACAGTGAGGGAAACATATGGAATTGCCAAGTTTGACCAATAGATGTCCCGTGGCTCGGGAGCCCACTCAGTCAACCAAATTGTTGGATTTCTGGTTTGTTGAGTTTGTGCACAAACTGCAGCACCCCATCGACTTTTGAACGGAACAAATGCAGCGGGCATGATAGACTTGGGATCATTAGTGACCTTATCCCTCTCTAAAGCTGTCTGCGAAAGATGATAAACTTGAATCACTGTAAGCATCATGAGAATTTCTAAGACAGAAAAGTTATGATACCACAATAAGACTCATGATTTCAACATATATTATCCCAAGTGAAATTTTGTGTTAAACGAGTTCCTTCAGCATCTGTTCAAGTCTATTTGCACAAAGTTCAAGTGAACAATCAGAAAATTATCCATTGCAATAATAGATAAAGGCAAGCAGTCACGAAGCTGTTACATGAGGAAATAACTCTCTGAAAGCAGAATAATACTATTGCACGTGATAAAGATAAAAGATACTTGTAAAAATTTGGTATATCATAGTCTGTTATATGTATTCTGCAAAATTAGCATTTGATATCTCCGTAATTATTTTTCAATATATGACTGGCATGAGAAAATTCATTTGGATGCAGAGGGGGTAAAAGTCCTAACAGAAAAAGGAATATATATATATGGCACTTACTTCTTTTGCAAGCTTGTCAATTTCAGTGGTATAATAATCAATAGCATCCACTTTCTTTCCACGAAGACCAAGGAAACCAGTCTGGTAAAAACATATAAGAGGGAAAGGTTGTGGCAAATCTGAAGATAATTATGACAAAAATTTGAAGGCATACCAGATTAATCTCAAATATCTTCATTTCAGGTCTTTTTGAAGTTCGTTCAAGTTTATTTTGATAATAGACAAGGCAATTCTGCAACTTCTTCTTCTTTTTAACAACCTTTGCTAGTCTGTTTGCATCATAAACAACCTGCAGAAATGTCACAATAAATATGCTGACATACGCTTTTTTGCCTCTCAAAGTCCCAAATGAAAAGCGGAAAATTAATTTGGCATAATAAACAATGTAATTCACATTTCATATACATCATTTCAGAATCAACGAGACAACTAGTGAATTT